CTTTGGATGTTTATATCCTGGTCCAGAATCTTGCCTACCCCGTGAATCAAAAATAAGCATAACCGCTAGGATGTCATGTTTTTTTTGGAAGCTTTGTAATCTAGAAAATGTACGACCAAATGCTTATGTATAAATCAAACGAAAAGTTCTTGGAGTCTTTTTTGATTGAACAGAGAAAAATATACTTATGATAGTAATCTATGGCCTGCTTATTCATGATACTCTTCATTTCTCCAGAACTAGCTTGCTGACTTAACGCAGTATGAAAATATAACGAAAATTTTGCTAATATAGCACCTCTTAGTTTCATTAACCATTGATATAATGCAGGATGTTGGTTTGTTTTCAAAAAAGTCGTTCCAAATCCGAGTTTCCAAGACTAAAATAAGTATTAAAGTTACAACATTAATTATTATATACACATATTAATGACTAATATGCTCACTTCTCTATTTTGTAAGGTTTTTTCCCATGCTAACATTCGGGTTTGGGCTCCATAAAGAGCCATCAAAGATGGCAAAAATCGCCAATTTTGCATTTCTATATAAGCTCTTATTAATTGCATTAAGATTTCACATTCTAATCTGAAAATGTTATAATTTTTTTTATTTTTATAAGCTTAGGTACATTTGTCTGGGCTTACTATTTAAAAAATTTACATAAAAGCTGCTTTGATAGTATTTAAGGCAACATGAGAGCAAGAGAGTACGTGACATTTAGAAATGTCTTCTATTTAACATATGAAAGGTCAATTAAAAAATTTAATAATTAAAAACTGTGTTTTCAGTAGCATACTTAGGGGTATCTGTCCCAATTATGGACCCTTTAAGAAAAATGTCGAGCTCAACTTTATTTTGTGTCTAACGGTCAATAGAACTACACCTTGTATAATAACGTATAAGCCGTTAGATTCTTTTTTAACAACATCAAATTTTTTTTTGTATCAAAAAGTTTTGTTTTTTTATTTTAATGATGAAACAAGAAAAAAAAATTTTGTCCGTATTACGGACCCCCTCGATGGACTTTGAACCTATCGTGGACCCCCCTATTACGGACCCTGCCCATGATGTGGACCCCCTTATTATGGACCCTGTCCATAATGTAAAAAAATATTTGTATGTAATTAAATAAACATTTGAGATTTATTTATAAGTACTTCTCACACTTTAAACAAAATATATGACTAGGCACTTTTTGAGATAAGTTTTTAAGAACAAATTTTTATATCAAACTAATGTTGTGATAATTACTATTACTTCTTTTTATTATAATAATCTTATATTTTTTATGACTTTGTAATGGTTGTTTAGTCTTCTTGGTGCATTTTTTAAGAGGCATTTTTTGTTGTTCTTTCTTTACTTTTAGAATAAAAACAACAGCTCGAAGTTATGGAGTTGAAGGTTATGTGTTCACTCAATACTGGTGGAATAAAGGGTCCATAATAGAGACAGAGCCGATAATCATGGCTGTATTGTGGACCCTCTAATATAAACTTTTTAAGAGTATAATTTGTTTTTATTATTTTTCTGAAATTCTTATTGATATATTAAACAATTTTTTGAGTTCAAATAATACTCCTAATTTTTTATACAGCATTTCAAAAATATGAGTATTTTACGGTTTTCAACAAGGCATGATGAAGAAAATAGTCAAAAGCGTTGTGTGACTTTTTAATATATTATTTTAATGATATAACATTATTTGAATGCTATTATTTGTCATTATTATGGTGAATTAGAGAGAAAATAACAACTTAAAAAATAATTTATTGTGCTATTGAAACACTCGTTTAACTTATCATTAATAATGTGATAATAAGTCCACGATAGGGACAGGGTCTATCATTGGGACAGATACCCTAATGTAGACAATAAGAATTACATTAGTCCTCAAACCCCGATAGCCCTGCAGTTAAAACGCTTGGCCATCAATCATAAGGTCATGTGGTAAAATCTTATTCACTTGTTTTTTTTTTTTTTTTTAGGAGGAAGAGACTTCTAGTAAGGGACTTCCGTTTCATGGAAATCTGTCGTTTTTAAAATTCCAGCCCCCCAAGCACGCGACCTACAGAACTTCGTTCTAAAAATTTATAAACAATATCAGTAATGGCTCCCTCACGAGCTTCGCTCGATCGCTCGTGTTGTAAAAAACAACCAAATCCTACGAAGTTTTAACAGCCAACCACATATCAGTGAAATCAATAAAAAAATAAGTTTATAAGAATAATTTTGTTTTTAAAACAAAGCTAGAAAAATTCACCACTTTGTTAGCCATAATCTCTGTAACTAAAAGTTGGCAGCTCTGTCATAATAAGCATGTTATGAAGCCAACTTCTTAAAGGGTGAGCTTAACTACACATTCCCCTAATAAATAAACGAAATGCTTAGATCGCACATTTGCAACCCTCGGCTTTGCCTAGAATTGCATTACACATGCAATTCGCAACATCTATAAATGTTTTGTAATTCTTGATGTTTGGTATCTCGACATATATGAGGTAAGAATTTATAAAATATTTTTCCCGTTATCAGTGACCCCGATTACCCCTAGAAACACTTTCAAATCAGAGGAGCCCAGAAATCGTTCTCTCACTTAGATTCCCCTTATTCTGATAACGCCTTTGCTGCTCGCTTGCGTACTCTATTCTTAAATATTTGTGAGTGAAAAGAACAGCCTTCTATCTAACAGTTTCATATATATGTTAAAAAAAAAAAAGAAAAAAACTTTTTTAAGAAATTTGAACAGATTCTTACACTTTGGTCTTTATTTAGTACAACTTTATCCATTGCCATTAGATCAATATGACACTCCTTTATGCTACTTTTGATTTTATCCCAATGGAAGAACGGTTTTTGACTGAAAGACTGCAAAATTAATGTAGCTTGTTATTAATCAGTTAAATTAAAAGATGATTTTTTAAAAACAAAATAATTTTAAAACTATAAACAGATCTTCATTAGTTTTCTGAAAAATGTAAACCTAAGTTAAAAAAAACTTACATAAGGTATACTCAAAACTATTGAGAAATCTTCTATAATATCTGTTTCTCTCTTTGGATGTTTATATCCTGGTCCAGAATCTTGCCTACCCCGTGAATCAAAAATAAGCATAACCGCTAGGATGTCATGTTTTTTTTGGAAGCTTTGTAATCTAGAAAATGTACGACCAAATGCTTATGTATAAATCAAACGAAAAGTTCTTGGAGTCTTTTTTGATTGAACAGAGAAAAATATACTTATGATAGTAATCTATGGCCTGCTTATTCATGATACTCTTCATTTCTCCAGAACTAGCTTGCTGACTTAACGCAGTATGAAAATATAACGAAAATTTTGCTAATATAGCACCTCTTAGTTTCATTAACCATTGATATAATGCAGGATGTTGGTTTGTTTTCAAAAAAGTCGTTCCAAATCCGAGTTTCCAAGACTAAAATAAGTATTAAAGTTACAACATTAATTATTATATACACATATTAATGACTAATATGCTCACTTCTCTATTTTGTAAGGTTTTTTCCCATGCTAACATTCGGGTTTGGGCTCCATAAAGAGCCATCAAAGATGGCAAAAATCGCCAATTTTGCATTTCTATATAAGCTCTTATTAATTGCATTAAGATTTCACATTCTAATCTGAAAATGTTATAATTTTTTTTATTTTTATAAGCTTAGGTACATTTGTCTGGGCTTACTATTTAAAAAATTTACATAAAAGCTGCTTTGATAGTATTTAAGGCAACATGAGAGCAAGAGAGTACGTGACATTTAGAAATGTCTTCTATGGACAGCAGTAATTCTTGATGGCACATTACTTTACTGTTAATACTCATGCTATACATTTTTTCATAACTGAAAAAGATTTGACAAGAGAATTCTCATATGATCATGTAATAACTCACATAACTAATTTTCAACATACAAATCAATCAATTGGATTCTGGCAGTAACAAATTGACACAATTGAGATGAAATTGCTGCAATTCTAGTTCCAATTGTGTTGGATCCTTGAGTCATTTCTTCTAATCTCTTCATGTCAACTCTTAATGATTCGTACATGGTTTTCAAAGACGTCTGTAAGAGTTGTAACAATGTTAGAGAATGTACGTGTTAAGGAAATAAGTATACAATTAAAAAAAATTGTAAATTATACGTCTTTTCTAAGAAATCCTTTATTTTTCGTGTGAAGGAATCCTAAATCAGCATAAGAACGTTCAGCAACAGATATTTGAGGTAGATGTGTTAGCAGCATTCCCCATGGACCCATTTGCAAGAATTTGCATCTTTCTCTTTCTTTTTCCTAATTATTTAAGGTTATTACATTATTTGGTTTTTTCAGTTATCGAGGGATTTTTTTTTTTTTTTTTATAAAAAAAATACCACTGATTCCTTGGCTTTATCAAAGCAATGCTGTGTAACTTGGGTGAAAAAATTGTTTAAAAATTCATCTTGGTCCATTATTTTAATAACCCTAAGTAACAGAAGAGAAATTGAATTTTGCACAGCGTAACATATACTATATATATATATAGTATATATATATATATACACTTTGTAACGTATACTATATAGGAGGGGTCCAAAATAACGACAGTTTACTTCAATTTTGTAGTTAAACTATTAGACCAAGAGCTGAGGCTGAAGGATAGTAAAAATTTTAACCAGCCGCCTCTTTCACCAGAATTGAGGAACCTCATGATTCGTAGAGATCCGAAATATTTCGGTCATATTTTATAGTGGTGAAGAGTTATGTGGTAATTATAGTTGTGCCATTTGATCTTTTTTATTAACCAGCCACAACTTACACCAATGGTAAGAAAATAAAAAGTTCTTAACTGCAAGTGTCATTTGCGGCAAGATTAGAATCATTGCCAATGGCAATGGCATTGTCAGGTGACAACTTTTTATATTCTATCCATTGGTGAAAGTTGGGGGCTGGTTAATAAAAAAGATCATATGGCACAACCATAATTACCACACGACTCTTTACCACTATGAATGATGACCTAAATATTTCGGATCCAAACGAATCATGAGATTTCTCAATTCTGGTGCAAGTGGCGGCTGGTTAAAATTTTGATTATCCTTCGGCCTCAGTTCTTGGTTTATATGAATGTTCATTTCAGCGACGGGTATTTCGACTACAACCGACAACGATAGCTCAGTGCAGCGACTGTTCATTATTTCGACAGCCAATCACAAGGCAGTTCGCTTTGACTTTCTATCTATACTGCTCTGTGGTTGGCTGTCGAAGTAATGAACAGTCCCTGCACTACAAAATGGAAGTGAACTGTCGTTATTTCGCCCCCCCACCCCCACTAAAGCATTTTTATGTCAAACGAGTCAATTGTTTATTTACTTATTTTATCAACTAACAGTTACAATGATAAATAAACAAAAATCGTTAGACGACGCACACGTCAGGGTTGCACGTATGAGGAATACGATCGTAAGGCTCCAGCAACATGGGCGGAATTATGTAGCGGAACGTGACAGCGGAACTATTTGAGCCTCCAAAGGTCCTGAATAGAAATACACATTCCAGCAGGTAGCAGGACCAGCTCTGGTGCCTTAAGCTTGGTCTCCGGACCTCTTCCGGCAGTCTTTCCGGGCAAGGAATAGGATCATACTTTTTCAACTCCTTCAATAAAAAATTGATGCGTCCATTAGCTGGCTTGCGCACCCTTGCATAGTCTATCAGGACCTTTGCGCAATAAATGTTTGCTCGGATTTTTTCCCATCACTATCTTCATTAATATATTCACTGGCACAGCTGCTGTAATATTTTCGATTATCATTATCATTATCATCACTGCCATCATCACTATCATTAGGAGGAGCAAAGCGATACTTGTCAGCAAACATTTCCCGTTTATCCTCAACACTTTCACTCAACTGTGATTCATCAATGAATAAATCATAATTTTTATAATTAAAGCAGTGTATTTCATTGGAATAATTATCCGCGTCAATACTTTTTTCATTTTCAATAACCAAATTCTGAATGTGTATTGTATCACTCACATTGATGGTTTTTTCAGAATTTTTTTGTTATTGTCGAGTTCTTCGGCTTTCCGTTTTCTTTTACATCGCATTTGAACTTTCTTACAGTACAAACGAGATTCGAACTTTTTATCGATAGTATACGTTCATTTCTTACTTCAATAGTACTTATTTGTATACAACGATAATTTGAAGTAATCGAAGCAGAAGCTATAACCTCTAAGTTGAAGATGTACCTTCAGGGCCGAGCATGGTAAGTGTCTGGTAACCGTACCTTCAGGTCGCCTGAACCCACTCGGACACGCACCTGGTAACGCCACCTACAGGGGCCATAGAGATTAGTATCCGGTACCGGTAGCAAGACAGCAAGAGATGGCCCTAAAGGAGCCTTAAGGTATACGGAATATATTTCTATTTGGTAATATATTACTAGTGTAATGTGATCCGTAATCCCGCCAGCAGTACAAAAAGCAGGCGACGCGGAACTTCGTCCTATTTTGTCATATTGTGCTAACGTAAACAAACACGCAGACCTTTATTGATAATTGCCCGTAGGATCAGACATGGCGTTATTTTACACAAACATAGTGTTAATTGACCATCGGTGCACCTGGGTTATGACCAGATGTTTATACGAATGAACACAAGGGGACGAGGGCCAACTCAGTCACACCTATGATCACGTATAGACGAAGCGTTAGAATTACACCCCGTATTGCGCATTGCAAGTTCCGTACCCTATGTGTGACCGTACTCTAAGGGTGCAGTCCCATGGTACAAAATAGAGTAGAGCTCCGCAATAGACTGTCCGCAATAGAAACAGCCAATTAGAGCCATTGCGGACGTTTGAGCTATTGCGGACAATCGAACTGTTGCGGGTTTTGAACGTTTTTATATTTTAGCCTGCAACTGTCAGAAAGCTTTGAGGTTATGTAAGGTATTACTTTACTAAGAGAACGAGACCAAACCTAAAGTTTGAACAAATCTAAAATAAAATGAGTGGAGCTCCTAACAATAATGCAAAATTATGTAAAAGCGTAAGTTGTATTCTTTTTGCCTTAAATTTTGATAACCTATTTTTCGTGTAGTTCACTCAAGTTTTCATTGTAGTATTATAAATGCAAGCATTGTAATTGAATGCTTCCCGAAGAAAATGTTAGACATTTCACACTGAGCTCCAAAACACACCAACAAAAACAAACGATGACCGTTAATCAGCTGGTTATGTCATTCTATTTCGCAGACATAAAGCTCTGGTCACATGTGCAGGAACGATCGATGCGTAAGGCCGCGGTCACATGGAGAGCGCAACGCGTACCGCATAACCATTGGAGCCCATAAGAGTGAGAGAGAGGTAAAATATGCGCACCTCTCTCTCACTCTTATGGGCTCAAATGGTTACGCGGTATGCGTTACGCTCTAAATGTGCCCGCGGCCTAAGCGTAACTCATTCACGGCCGTGAGTGCAAGTGAGAAAGTGATACTACAAACCTCTTACTCGCACTAACGGGCCTAGATGGGTTACGCATCGGTCCTAAGTCTTTCCTGCACATGGGACCATAGCGAACTTTGCCTCTCCGAAATAGAAACGTCGAGTATAGAGTATAGATGTCTTATTGTCACCTTAATGTTTTGTGGGTCCGCAGTAGCAGAGATAAGTAGGGCAGTAGCTTTGATTGGCTGTTTCTATTGCGGACAGTCTCTTGCGGAGCTCTATTTCGTACCATGGGACTGTACCTAGCCCTAAAGTCTATATGTCTATGGTCATCAGCAACACGTGATATTGTAACCTACAACAGTGTCCTAATTCAAGTATATGTGATAATGTTATGAAAGAAAAAATTAATTTTGATGTTACATAAATTCTTAATTTTTAATTCCATTTTTAGATGCAGGTGTCAGTACTTATTTTTAAATATTAATCCAATCATAAAAACACTACGATGGGTATTACTAAGCAATATCTGAAATATGTACCTGGTGGCAATGTTAATTTAATTGCACACTCCAATTGTAACGTTATTTTTGTAACGTTAGAAGGTCAAGAGGGAAGATTTGTTGCTGTGAGTGCCTGTGAACACGTATATATTTGGGATCTCAGACTTGGAGAAAAGGTACTTTATTGAAAATGCTGTGCCTATTCGCACCTTACATCCGCTATATCCATGTAATTACACTGCGAATAGACACTACTTATTAAAGAATTAAAACTAACTTATTTACATGAGTATTTGTACTTGTAGGTACAAGTTTTGTCTGGAAATGAAGCCAACGTAACACATTTAGCAGCTTCACCTAACAAAAGACACATTGCTGCAGGCTATGATGATGGGTCAATTAAAATATTTGACCTGCGATCAGCAGAAAATGTTAGTGTATTTGTTGGACATCGCTCAGATGTTACTTGTTTAGCATATGATCATTTGGGTCATCATTTAGTCTCAGGTTCAAAGGTAAGGATTTTTCATAATTATGTCATAAAATAATATGCAATTTATTGTACAGTTCGTTGTACCAAATACATTTTACATCCATTGAATATCAGGTATCTTTGATAGAGAGAAACTTATTAGCAATTAATTTGAAAATAATCACATATAGATACACACCAAATAAATCTCGTCTCAAAATTATATTTCAGGATACTGACATCATAGTTTGGGATGTAGTCGCAGAATCGGGAGTTTGTAGATTAGTAGGACATAAAAATATCGTCACACAAGTTGCATTTATGAAAGATTACAACGTTGTTGTAAGTTCAAGCAAAGATTATTTGATAAAATTTTGGGATGTCCAGAATGAATTTAATTTTAAAACAGTAACTGGACATCAATCTGAGGTAAATATCGGCATGTTAAGTTGTTTCAAATGTGTTTTTTTTGTTTGTTATCAAATTCGTTGTCCAACAGATTTGGAGTTTTGTTCTTGTTAAAGATGATCAATATTTGATCAGTGGCTGTAATGACCGTGAATTATACATATGGAAAATTGACTCAGCTGATATCTCTCAAAAAAATAAAAAAAACGATATATCTAGCCTTGTATTAGAAAATGAAGATGACGACAATGATATAGTAAAAATAAATTTTCTTAACAACTGCAGTTAAAATTGAATATTTATATATGTCAATATGTTACTTATAATGTATTAACATTATTTTAGAAGTATCCTATTCGCTGCACTAAAATTGGTAATATTGTAAGAGCTGGCAAAGGTCGCGTATTTTCTTTAGTTGTCGACTATTCAGGACAAGTCATAGGCTGTCATGGCACAGACAATACAATAGAGTTATTCCATTTTCTGCCTACAGAACAAATAGAAGACAAAAAAACTAGACGAATAAATAAGCTGAAAAAGAAAGCTTTAAAGTAAGTTGTCCTCTCTAGTCTAATAATCTTCCTACTGATAATTTTTTTAAATAATTATTTTGCGCACATGTCTTTTTGTAGTGATAAAACATTACAAGAAAAATTACAGGAGATAGAATTCGATACAGTATTAAAAGATCAAATCAATCGTATCCAAGTTATTAAAGCTGTTGACAAAGTGAAGTCACTGGATCTCATAATGGGAAGAGGAAACGAACTAAGGGTAAAACTACTTTTTATGTATGTATATTTTTGTAAAGTCTTCAAGCATAAACTGAAGTATTTAAATTCGTTCTATAAATAGTTTGATAAATACTTTCTAAAGAAAGTTATTTTAAATGTCAATTTATTTTAGAGTTTTTGCCAACTGAAAAATCATGTATACCAATAAAATTTTGTGAAATTATGCTTGAATTCAATTAACAGACTTACAAACATAGATTCGACACATGTCTCTGGTCCAAATATAGATTTTATGCGAAACTTTCTCAGTACAGATAAAAGAATCGTAGTAGAGAAATAATTGTTCAAAAAACCAAAATTTTCTAAAAAAATCACTTTTTGTTAGGCTTAATGTACATACTGTGTTATAAACATCTTAATTAACTTTTTTATGTGAACCAATGACTCGCCGCAACATCATATCGATGTCAGCTGAATATTCTCATGAACTTTTTGTGTAAGCTCACTTTAGATCACGTTGAATTATGCGTTTCAGGTCAGCTCAATTCTTAACAATAACTCAATCGATCTTTATTCTGTGGTACTTAATGATAAAACTGAAGAGCCTCAAACTTTAAGATCCCTCAGTTCTCATGGCCATCGCACTGAAGTACGAGCTATTTGTTTTAGTTCAGATAGTTTGGCGTTTGCAACTGCTAGCGGAGATTCGGTCAAACTTTGGAATAGGTGTGTCAAAAATCTTACACGTAAAAATGTCTTAGCCCAAATTGAAATAGCTTCGCAGCAGAAGCTTATCTGCTTGGATATTTACTTATGCTATCAGGAAATTATCGCATTTCCCCAATATTCGAACTATTTTGTGAATTCCGCAATTTTTCTTTTAGACCAACTCTACAGTGTATTAGAACAGTTGAATGTGGATATGTTTCAAGTATAATTTTTGCACCTGGTGACCGTTACTTAATGGTGGGCTTGAAAGATGGCAGAATGGTAATTGTTGATGTAGCGGCGAATGAAATTCAAGAAGACATACCTGCGCATAAAAATCAATTGAATAGCTTGTGTGTGTGGCCAAAAAATGTAATTATTTATTTCAGTCATTAGCGAAAAGTACAGAAATTGTGTAAATTATGTAGTAATTAATAAAAATTTGCAGGATAACGTGATAGGAATTGTTAGTGGAGGTGACGACAAAGCTGTGAGGTTCTGGTTATTCGACGATGTTAAAAGTGCTGAAAAAGAAAGCAAAGCAATCACTGTAGTGCACAAAAAAACACTTAATTTCAAAGATGCTGTGAATTGTGTGAAGGTTTCACCTAATGGTAGATTTCTTGCGAGTGCACTGATGGATTCTACAGTAAAAATATGTTTTGTAGAGAATTTCAAAGTAATTACAGAGTATTCAAAATAGCGATACCACCAAACCGTATAAATAATTAATTGCTATTGATATGTTTAAGCCTTTCACGACTCTGTATGGACATAAATTACCAATAAAATGTTTGGATATTTCAAGCGATTCTACGCTAATAGTAACCGGATCTGATGACCGTAATGTTAAAATCTGGGGTTTAGATTTTGGTGATTGTCACAGATCGTTATTTGCCCATGACGATTCTGTAACCAGTATCGCTTTTGTGCCAAAAACTCATTATTTCTTTACCTGTGGCAAGGATGGTAAAGTTAAAGAATGGGATGCTGATATATACCAGAAAATTATCACATTAAGGGTAACTATTAGCTTTTTAAATGATGTACTTAAATAAGTGTTCTTTTTTTTTTTTGTTTTTTTTTTGCGAGATTTACTATGACTGATATTTTTGTTACCTTAGGGTCATGTGGGTCAAGCATTTAATTGTGCAATATCACCTAATGGCTGTTTTTTAGTTTCTTGTGGTTCAGACAAAGTTGTGCGTGTTTTTGAAAAGAGTTCTGAAATCTTAGTACTTGAAGATGAAGCAGAAGAGGAAAGGGCAAGACAAGAAAATGAAGTAGTAACTGGTGATACTACAGCTGTTCAAGGGCAAAAAAATCAAATTTTGCCTTCACGTAAAACAGTTAACAGTGAAAAAGCTGTAAGTAGTATTTCAGTAGTTTACGCAATTTTGTATAATTCTCATCCCTTTTTTTTATTCATTTCTAAATTTTTCATGTTATAGGCTGAACTGCTTCTCGAATGTTTAGATGTATGTCAAGCATACAAAGCAGAGTGTGCCAACGTCATACCACTCAGTCCTTTACCACCCTTACCTCTTTTAATGCAAGTATACAAGTGCAAAACTACAGAAGAATTCTTACTAGAAACTGTGAAGAGAATACGAGCCAGGTTTTTATTTTGAAAACATTTCATTCGATAATTATGATTCTTTTACTTGCAATGAGAAATACAAAATAATAATTACTCTATTTTTCAGTGATTTTGATGAAGCCCTAATGTTGCTTCCGTATTCAGCTGTTTGTGAAATTTTAAAAATGTTACCTAATCTTCTAAAAAGTTGTTATCAAGCAGAAATAATAGCTAAATTAACCTTAAGTTTGGTTCAGGCGCATCATGGGCCAATCGTAGCTAGTCAAGATTTACTACCTCAAGTGGAAGAAGTGAAATCCTTAGCCCTTAAACAAGTATCCATGTTAAGGGTATGTTGTAACAAATTTATTAAAGTTAGAGAATCATACTTACTAAATCGTTTTTTGTTTTAAATTAGGATACTCTTGGATTTAATATTTATGGTATGGCATACATGCAACGAGTAATTGAAGAAAAGGAAGGAATTAAATTATTTAAAGAAGCCCAAAAATCTCAAAAAAAGAAGAATGTTAAACGAAAAAATAAAGAAAAAGCTCTTAAACGAGCTATCATGACTCTATAATGTATTGTTTTAATTTATGTTCACAAGTAATAAATAAAATTTTTTACGAGATATAAATTAACGGTGTACGCACTTTCTTTCTCAAAAAATAGTATATTACGCACCTAGTGAGCAAGGTTAAGAATGTCGCAGATTTAACATGAATAAACGCCCGAGGCGAAGCCGAAGGTAGATAACAATGTAGGACATTTCTTAACCTCCGAACGTGGAGCGTAAGTATTCTGTTTTTCATCAATCCTGCGCTGAGAGAAAGGATTTTCGTGTTCCGCTTCGCGAAACGAAAGTTCCTACTTTTAGCGCAGTATGATGAAAATTATATTGCTAATAAAAGCACTCTCTGAATACAAATTGATGTTTAATGTCAGAACACGTGAAAATTATTACAAACTATTGCCATGCAACTTGCTTTAACTAGCTTGCGAGGCCGACTTACTGCCCTTACTGCAACGCAGCAGCAACAGCAGCGAGCTTCTGGTTCAGTTATAAGCCGGAGCAGTTACATGGTTACACCAACCACTTGGGCGCGCTGCACACAGTATGAGGCTCTTTTACAGTCAAGCTTGAATCAGATGGCGCCAGGGCACGTCACGGCTGTCATGGCCGTCGCACTTTGTTGGACTTAAGCCTTATTGCAGGTGGTGGAAGGGTGAGGGACAGGTCGCAGACAAAAATGCCCTTCTTGTAGTAAGTGAACACGTAAAACTTTATTTAATAAGAGTTGCCACGGGCGGTATGTGTTGCCGGAAGGACGATGCTCGCTGTACAAGTGCTCGGGCAGAAGTAAGTAGGCTTGAACAGCTGTGACGAGCTGTATAGTGTGTTACACACGAGAGGCGTCAGGCGGCAGCACAAAGCACCTTTTCTTAACACTCCCTTCCTTTGGGTTGATCGCTCTGAAGAATCGTCTCTGAAGTTTCACACGTCTGAAGATTACTCCGACTCTGATTTGGAGCTAGTGATCTCCATATCACTGTCTCCTTGGTTTGACGTATCTGAAATCACATTAAAATAAAATATTTTAATCTCTGAGTTCTCTGATCAAAAATTACTGTTTAGTAATTTTCTTCTGAAGTAGATGTGTTTTTCTGAGGACAAAGGTTTTGTCATGATATCTGCCTCATTCTCTGAAGTGGAAATCCATCTAACATTTACTTTATTCTCCAGCACACATGCTTTCACATAGTCACCATGTGTACTTGCCATGTGACACTTTTTGCCAGTAATCTCTCTCTGTTTCAATTGTTTCTGGATCGTCTGAAGGTCATCATCAAAGTTTTTGAGTCTATGACATCCATCCATCTGAGTGCTCTTAACAGCTGCCAAATTATCACACCAGATAGTCACAGGATACATAGACGTTCCCGTTATACTTCTAATCGCCTTATCCAGAGACACCAGCTCTTGACAGGCATCACTCATGGCTAGATACTCTGCATGACATGTCGAGAGAGTCACATATGACTGTTTGTGACTCCTCCACATAACAGGATCGCCAAACAATTTTATGACGTACCCGCCAGTCGTAGCAGAATCATCTAGATCTCTGAAGCTCGTGTCAGTCATTGCAAAAAGGTCTCCTTTTTGTCCTCTATAGGTTAAACCCAAGGCAGTTGTTCCTCTGAGATATCTGAAAATCCTTTTTACTTCTTTCCAGTCATCCATTGTTGGTTGCAGTTGTTTCCTCGACAAATAGTTGACCGAGTACGCAATATCTGGTCTTGTCGCNCCGTTGCGTCTAGAAAAAAGACTATTCAAGAAACTTTCAAAGAAGAATTGGGTTTGAATGTTGACAAACCAAAATCTGGTAGTGGAACTTCAAACGATGGAAACACGGCTCGAGTTTTTTTTGAAAATTATGACAAATCTGCTCAAATACTTGGAATTGATGAAGATATTATACATCGATTTTATATAGTATTGCAAACTATCGCAAGTGGCCATTACATCGACGTAGATAAATTTAGAAAGTATTGCCTGGATTTAGCTAAAGCAGTTGTCGAAAAATACGAATGGTATTATTTACCTACTTTAGTTCACAAACTTTTGATTCATGGCCCTGAAATCATCGAACAGTCACTGTTACCTATTGGGCAAATGTCTGAAGATGCCCAAGAGGCTTGTAATAAATATTTCAAAATATATCGGTTGCGTTTCGCAAGAAAAAATCACCGACAAAAAACGATGGAGGACGTTTTTAAAAGATTTCTAATTGCTTCTGATCCATACATTTCCAGTCTCCGAAAATTACCCGTCAAACCTCTCAAACATTTATCGCAAGAAACAATAAATTCGTTAAAATCTCCATCAGACAATGCAGGGATTGTTGGTGAATTGTATTCTGACAGTTCTGCAGACACCGATGCAAGTTCTTATGCGGAAGAAGGCGAATCTTATGACATTGGCAATGGAAACTTTTTTTTGTAATATTTAATGTTTTTTCAGCGCACACCATGCTCAAATATGTTTTATTTGTAATTCAAAAAGTTTAATTTTGATGAAAAATTTGATTTATCTTTTAAATCTCAGTTTTATACTCAACAATAATTTATCAAACACAACTCCGATTCTGCATGGTGACTATTGATANCTTGAAACCTCTAATGACCAATCTAGCCTTGTAGACTGTTTTTCCATCTGAATTTACTTTCCTCTTAAAAACCCATTTTGAGTCAATGGTGTGGACTTTTGCTCCACTCTCATCGTAAGTGGGCCTATCCACTATAGTCCACACTTGATTTGACTCCATTGATTTTAATTCATCTCTAATTCCTTGTAGCCATTTGTCTTTTTCATCTGAGTTCATGGCTTCTCTGAAACTTGATGGATCCTTGTTTGTCATAGCTAAGAGCTCATGACTAATCTCATCATTCTCAATTGTTGTATTCTCAGCACTGGCTTGACTCTGATTTATTTTTGGTTCTTCTGATGTTGGAACACACTCAACCAGTCGCAAGTGCGACCACGTTGGTCTATTTACTCTTGCCATTCTATCTGGAAATTTTCTAATTTTCGGTTCTTTGCAGTCAATCGTCTGAGTTTCTTTTCTTTTCTTTGGTCTGCCTCTGTGAGGTTTCACAGTTTCTTCTGGAATATTCTGTGTCTCTAAGTCTTTTTTTTCTGATTCAAACTCTAAATGGCTTTCAAAGTTCTTGCTGTGATTACTTTCCTGTGAAAACTTCCTAATATTCTTTATGTCTCTGTACACAATCTTTTCATTGAATTTCGCGTGCCTGGAGAAAACAAACTTGCCGGTCTCATATTGCCAGAGTATGTAACCCGACTTGGTATAACCTACCAGCACAGTCTTGACTGCTCTCTCTGAAAATTTTGACTCTGGGATTGGCACTCTTGTATATGCTAAGCAACCAAAACGTCTGATTTTATCAATGTGGGATTTAAGCCTTTGGTCCATTCTCTGAAGAGGTGTCTCGAAGTTTATTCCTGAGTGCGGTGTCCTATTGTAGACATTTGTGGCAACGTCTGATGCCAACGACCACATACTTTTGGGAAGTCCCCAGTCTATCATGAGTGCTCTGATTAGCCACTGCAGAGTCTTATTAAATCTCTCTGCAGTTCCGTTTAACTCTGGAGTTTGCTGGGGTGAAAACTCATTCTCTGCATTTTCACTTTTTACAACTTCTAAAAAATGTCCCCCGGTAAACTCCGTTCCATTGTCCGACCTGACGTAGCAGACCTTTTCGTTTTTGCCTAAAATGTTCCTCGTATGTTTGAGGAACTCCTCTAAGCATTCTCCAGCCTGATCCTTGGTCTTGGCAAAGTACGCCTTTGAATACTTGGTGTAATCGTCGACTATGACCACTATGAATTTGTTGCCTCCTGGATACGACTCTGGCTTTATTGGTCCCATCGTATCGACGTGCAACCTCTCTAATGGTTTCGTTGCTCTAACTCTGATTTCGGGAGATGGTAATCTTTCCATCTTTGCCAGTTTGCACACCTCACAATCCAGTATATTGTCTTTAAAATGTACATCTGATAGTATTGCCTCTGATTTCTGAAGTTGTTTTAAGTACTTCAAGGATTTGTGACCCAGCTTTATATGCCACAATAGACCCTTGTCTATTTTTGCACCAACGTTTAGTTCATAACTCATAATTTCATCTAATAACCTCTGATTATCATCTGAATTTGCATCGGTCGTTTCCTTTTCCGGATTAAGTTCATACTCTTTCTCCCTTCCAATCTCTGACTTCGTTATTTCAGAATCTCTTATCTCAATCGCGACGTCTGAATGTAATTCTTCTTGAATCTCTGAAATGTCAGTCTGAGATTGTTGTATGAACTCTTCTAGATTGACCATGTGTGCTGTACATGAGTAAATATTTCTCTGATTTGTACAACCAGTTGTGTTTGATTGCACCTCTAAATCTATGACCCAGTTTGGCTTTTTATACTCGCCAATCAAAAGTTCCTCTTTTGTTTCTCTATCAAAAATCTTCAGTCTAGTGTCATCTAAATATATACCTAATCCTGCATCCGCAAAGCGTCTAAGGGATAACAGGTTGTGCGAGATATCCTTCGCAGCGATCACACCAGTCAGTTTAACTCTCATCTGAGTTTGTTTTTAAAATCAAATTACCTTTTCCATCTATGATGATATTTGCTGATTTATTTTTATTTGCACATCTGATTACTTCTCTGTTACTCTTTTTAAAATCTTTTAAAATAAAACCTTTTCTGACTATGTGTTCGGTTGCTCCGGAATCTGCGATAAATGATATTTTATTATTCTCTACATTTTTACGATCATTCTTACCTTCACTTGTTAGCATAGCTTTTATCTTTTGGGCCTTCTTGCCCTTACTACCAGAGGCTTTCGACTTAGCCTGGTTTTTGCTAACTTTACTATTATCTCTGAATTTACTCTGAGATTTTTCCTTCTTAACATCCCTATCTCTGAAATTTTTATTTAATTTTCCTACATACCCGTCTTTCGGATTGTCCTTGTTTGGACACTGGTCGCCCTTGTGGTTTCTAAC